CCAATTCCCCACTTGGGAGATTTTAACAATTTACGCTTATTAATAAGGAATATAGTAACTGTTTAATAATTTTGACATTTTCAAAGGACTACATTGTCCTTAATTATATCTGTGTGTATTCATGTTTGTTATTACAATTGTATTACTCATGTAGTAGTGTGAGTTTGTGAGTGCAAGTTATGTATTTCTGAAGTGTGTATAGGGATTTTCCATCTTGCTGACATTGATTGTAGAATTCTAATGCTAGGATCACATTGCTTTCTGTGATAAATATTTGTAGAGTTGTAAAACTTTTTAGACAAGCTCCTGGTTCCTATGCCAGCCTGACAGTGGAGGCACAGAATTATTTGAATGGTCACACAGTTTAGTTGTTTACCTTTTCATATCAGTTCTTCCATCATCACCCTTTATTCCCCAGATTCAAATGATCTCACATAATTGTTATCATCTTACTGGACATTATCATAAATTTTCTACAGCTCATATATTTTCATATATCATAAGTGTTTATAATTACATGCCAGTTTTAATAATTGCCTTATGACTTTGTATGCAGTTATTCAGGTTCATCATAAAAGTTAATTGTATCCTGTCCTGGGTCAGTTCAGTCCAGTTTACATGTCACAATCTGTTTCCTGAAGATGCATTTCATTATTACCTTCCAGTAAATGCCTTAGTCTCTTTCTTTCGGCCTTTATTGATCCTGAATTTAACATGGCTGTCACCTTTGATCCCTTAATCCCATATGATAAATGTTAAGTTTTTCAGCCAGTTTTATATCCTATTTTTTCCTCAGGTATGAAACTGAAAGTTTAGTCAATAAGTTGACGTTCATGGACTGTATAGTCAGAGTATGTTGGGATTCTCTTCTCTCCTGCCATATCCAGTTTAGCACTCTGTCGCTTAGCCAATTGATACTGAGGGTTAGAATCAACTTGAAAAGACCACTGACCTTTGTCTGATACTCAGGCTAAGAACACTTACCGTCGTACCTCCATACACACTTTCTGTGTTCAGCGTATGTTTCTTCAGCACAGGGATGATATTATGTTAATCCTCAGTCCACTTTATTTAAGCTTTATTGGTTGCATGTCATGACTTACGCGTGGTCTAAGAACTTGCACTGCTGTAAACCCTCCCACAGTTAAAATCCAACTGGCAGTGTAAATCCCTTATTACTGCATGATGAAGGTTTCCAGCTCTTGATCTTTGAAGCCTGTGATCTATTGATTTTGTCCAATTCTCTGTCAGTATAACTTCTTAGGTCTAATTATTCTCGTCAGATCTTTGTTTTTAATAATATCCTCAGTCTTTGCCTTTTCTCAATTTTAGAGGTAGAATTTTATGCATAGGGAACAGTGGACAAAGTTGCTGTTATGTATTGCAACACGTACTTTCTTCCTTGGAAAGAAGGCATGATGACAGAATTATGAACCGTATGAGTATATGCATTTTTGCTTTTATTTTTATCATGAGTATGATTTTCACATGATACTGTTACTTGCAAGTGCCAGGAGTGTGCTGTGTGTTAACATTTGTTTAACATAAACAATCATACAGTTCTCAAAAGAGCAAATACTTCAGACTTTTGCTTGGAAAGTAACTGATAATGTGCAGTGTAGCCATCCTATATTTTCTGTTTTTGTGTACTGTCAAGGAGTGATTGGAACCTGGTGCTTTTTAATATCATGTCGTCTAGGTTAGTATCTCTCATCTCCTTTCCAAGTGAGCCAAACAAATGACTAGTTATGTTTACATATTAATAATGAAGAGTGTAAACACAGTGCCAATATACTGTCATTTTTAACTCACACAGGGGTTTGCTGGAGCCCGTTCCCACCAGTTTGGCCAGACCAATACTTAAAAAATTTAAAACTACCATTTCTGATGTGAAGACACAGTTGAGAAGTTGTTGGTCACCTGTGGGTGCTCAGGCCAGATAAAGTACATTTGAAATTCCTTTGGATAACTGAATAAATTTGGCATGTGTATTGACAAAATGAAATGAAATTTCTTTAAAGCTTGTCTTTTTCTTTGATGAATTTTAGTATTTCTTTTGTTGCCTTACGCACTTCTTCATTTCATTGCTCTGCACTCTTTATTAAGTATTTTTTTCAATCATATAACTTCAATGTTTTTTTAAATATAAAAGTACAAAAAATTATGTCTCAAAATTGGTATACTTTGTTTTATAACTGCTCCTTTGCACGGTAGAGTCAATCTCTTTTTCTATTTGTGAATTTCTGCCCTTCACTTTTTTTGACTCTCCCTACTTAAGGGAACACACAAAATGAATAAATTATAAGCTCATTTTCCTTTCTGGAATGTACTTTGTTTTATAACTGCTCCTTTGCACACTAGAGTCAATCTCTTTTTCTATTGCTTATAAATAAGTAAGAAGTGATCAAACTGGCAGTTAAAACTTTGTGAGCACACCCTTGGATGTGCACTCGCCAATTAAATAGATGTACGAATCGTCAAGCTTTCCCAGCATTTTAGGGAAACGCCAGGATTTGCTGGGCTGAACACGGGGGAAGGCAACCCCTGATGCAATTGAGTAGGGGAAGCATCAGTTTTGACAATCATATTGTATGCATTATTTATCTTTACATTATGGTAGGGGTTGTAGTAATGCCAGTATTATGTTTGCAGTGCTACTTATAATTTGTGTTTCTTCCAGAATATCCTGCAGTTAGTTTACATAAAATTCCATGTTTTTAACAACTTTCATCGCTTTAAGGCTTTTGATACAACCTACAGTATTTGTATGAAGTATAACAACTGCTACTTCGTGCGGTATTTTGGTGTCTTATTTTTAAGTGGGATAGCTAAGTGGCTGTACATAGACTGGATGACCAAGGTTTTGATTCCTGAAAAGAGCATCCAGTCTTTGTCTTCATGATTACATTTACGGTGGCTCTGGGCCCACTCAGCACTTTGTCAAATTGGTATCTGTGTTAAGCGGTAGGGCTGAAGCGTGAATCTTACCTCCTAGTCTCAAAATTCAGCGGAGATTTATCCCACAGGCACCTTCATGCTTTTTCTGGAAAAACTTCTTGTTTCACTGCAGTCACAGCTGTAACATTCCTACAAAATCATATTTTCTTTTTTTGAGAATTCTTCGTACTGTACACAAATCTATGAAGTGGCCTTTGTACTGACTACATTTTTTTATGGTTTTATTCTTGAATATTCATACCTTTTGTCATTAGTTGCAAATGTCTGAAACTTGGAGGTAGGAGAGTGATTAAAGATCGGGATAAGGCAGACACATTTGTCTTTAGAATCGCAGTATTTTGCAGCCCTACTTAATGCACTAGCAATGTGACATATTTGTGATTCAATTTTCCTGTATTGAGTTCAGTGTTAATATTGGCAATACTGTGATTTAAACATAATTCACTCTTGTGAGAATAGGTGTACATTTACTTATAGAGCAATATTACGTGAATAATTCTATTCACGTTGGACCACTCGTCGCATTGTTCTTCCCTACTATTTCATAAGGTTTTAAAAATATTGCTCTAGGAAATGAAGAATGTGTTACTGTTATGGAAATGTTTGAGTCCGATGTGAACAACCATCACACGTGAGACACATGACTGTTCACTGAATTAACTCGTGTTATTATGATCACACTCGGAGTATTTAAAGTTGAAAGATGTCAAGCCACAAATTGTAGGAAGCATATGAACAAGTTTTTTAACTCAGGAACAAGTACAGAAACTACATAAAACTTCTATTATTTTGTGTGTTTTAGATTGTAATGGACTTGAATTTAATGTCCTTGAAAATGAAAAGCAACAATTTTAAGAGACCTATAGAGATGAATTAATGAATTTAAGGAGGGTTACTGACCTATTTTGTCAGCTGTTGAATGTATATGACATTCATGAATTAAGGCAGACTGAAATGCATATGGCTGAGCCAATAGTACCTGAGCCTAGTTTTGTGTATATATGTATATAAACATTGAGATTTCTGTTGAAAAATTAAAAAGATTTTTCATGTGGGTGTTGAACATGATCTCTCACAGTAAGAAAGAGCGTAGATTAAGGTCATATCCTGGTATATGCCTGGAGAGAAACCATGATAAACCTCAGCTGGGCTAGCTGGCCTCTAGGCCAAGATTTGAACCTGAGGCCTCCCAAATATGAAGTAGGAGTGCTAACCGCTCAGCCATGATGTTCGGTAAGACACGCTATTATCTCCTTGAAGAGTTAAGGTACCATCCCATCATGGTCAAAGAATTTCAGACAGGCCACATAACCAGAAGTTGAGCTGCGGCTTCGATGTTAGACATTAAGAGGAACGTCTAATTTCTTAATGTCGCCTTAGTGACATGAATTTGTGCAGTGTGTTGTGAAGCAACTCGTGTTCACCTTGTTCTGAGTTTGAAACTTGGTGATATGTTTTATATTCTAAGGAGTGAACATGTCAACATGGCCATTTGGTTTATGATCAGAACAGGAAATGCAGTTTTCTTCAAAATATTTCTAGAAGCATTTACAGAAGTTAAGTTCCACCTACCATATTATCTGTGTGGTTTTCCACATGAAAAAACTCCCGAATGCAAATTTTCATTACTTATTTGGAACAGAAGATTTACTCCACAGCTTGCAAAGAAAGTTTGATTTTGAGCCACAATAGTCTGTCAGTGTTGCCACCTCATAAATATAAAAGTTTCTCTCTTGTCTTTTGCAGCTCCTAATCTTATGATGAAATTCAAGATATTAACCAAAATTAAATCTTGATGGACAATTTTTATTTTGATCCACAGCATACAGTATTAGTAGATGAAGCAAATTCTGTAGCCACCGTTTTTATCAACTGAACCATTTGTCTGATTCTAATTAAGTTTAAAGCATTTAATCTACATTAAAAATTCATAAATTAGATTTTGAGTCACATTGGCTTGTCAGTGTTGCCACTACAGAAATGTTGACTATGGCAGATAATCCATTTATAGTACACTATATATTTTCAACCTTAAAACTGTGGATATATTAACACTAAATTAAACTGTCGTTGTCATCACATCTGAACCAGCTGGCCATCTGTGTCTCATAATTATTCTTGTTCCTGTGCTCTTTTAATTTTACATTTTGTGTATTTTACTCAGAAACATTCCCTTGTGATCACTGTTGTTTTATTCTGTGTGCTATTTGAAATAAATGCAAACTGTATTCCAAGTGTTTCACTTGTCTTCTCCATCACAGAAAGGTTTTAACACAGGCCTACAAAAGTTCAGAGCTACATAAATACAAGATAAAGAATGTAAGAGACAAATATGGGTTGGACATGTATCATAATTGAGAAAAATAGTTGTTATGGGTAACTTGCCAGTTGTATGAACATTATAGGGTTGGGTGCCTATCCAACCCTTGCACCATGAACATTGCTTGATCTTTTGTGCATCCCCGTTTGCATCAATCTGCTAGCAGCCCCATACCTCTGAAGTAGCATAGCAGGATTTCATGGTATCTTCTGTTCTCTTGCAGGTTGTGAAAATAAGATAATGCCAAGATATTTCAGTAGTGTAGACTGGATTAATGACAGGGTTTTGTGTGCGTGGTGCAAGGTAAAATATTTTTTAACGGGAACTATGATTTGGAGCGTCTTATAGTCTATCAGCAGACTCTGGAAGTGGCCTGAATAATGGTATGGTTTTGTCACATAATGTGATTGAAAATGGGATAGAGTAGAATGTATTTCTACCCAATTAATTTTGTGGCTAGTATATGGACACAGAGTCTAACACACCCTGTGAAGATTTTTACCGTTAGCAACATGACTGAAGAGGCTATCACAATCTCTTGGTTAGGTTAGTTCTGCAAAGACTTTGTTTATATGTAAGTGTTATCAGTGGCAGTATGAATATATATTCTTTAAGCAGGGTTGTTGACAGATATTAGACTAATTCATGCTATTCTTAGTTTTGGTCAATGATGGGTGAAATGTTTTCAAAAGATATATACATAAGTCTTATGTATTTATCATCGTAAATTGAATGACCATATTTAATGCTGCGTGTTGGGGTATTTATAGCGTTGTTTCTCTGGAACGTAGTTTATAATATTGGCAATAGTACTATTGAGCTCATTAATATTTTATATGTGCAATAACACAGACGTTAATATTTTATATGTGCAATAACACAGCATATTCGAAGACTTCTTTAAAAAGAATTCGAGTTAAATTACTATATATACACAACGCTGGAAATATAAATACTGTTCATATATGAAAGAAATCTATTTTACGCTTTTTTATCATCAAATTTAATAGGAAAATTAATCGTGCTGATTTGCACAGTTGGCGGCAATGTGTAGTTGAAACTTGGAATGACAGGTTGTACGGTTGACCATGCGACGTTTGATGAAAATGAATTTAATCGTAATTATATCATTGCTGTTTATGTCCATGAAAAGCGTCGAGTCGGCGTCTTTGGAAGTTGTAACAGATGATGAACTTTTAAGTCTGTTTAAGAATGAGAAATATGTTATCGTTCTGTTCAGTAAGTAACTGAGTGCATTAGATATGCAAAATCATATTCTTGTGTTTTAAACAGTAATTATGTTCGAATTGATTCTAGAAATATAAACAAATCAAGTTAAACACGAGGTGTACGTCAGTGGTTAGTAACATACGGTGGATATCAGATGTCTTGTGATTACAGTGGCAATGCTGTTAGTATTACTTGCGCATGTGGAACAGAACATCTAACCTCACTTATACTGTCAGCGAATTTTGTTTAATTGAGTTACTGGCTTTAACGGTAATCATAATAAGCAAATGGGGTGTAAAATGCATCTGTTAACCTTTATGACCTGCACATGACCAGCTCCTTGCCCATTCCATGCTAGTTGACATTTTGACCATGTGGTGATGTTGAAAACACTATTTCTAAGCAGCATGCAGCTGATGTTGCTATCAGGACATTATACTAGACTGCTAATAGTCTTCATATAGTCAATATTAATGTTTGTTAGTCATAATGTGGATGTCTGCTCTGTGAGAACTTAATGGAGAGACTGAGAAAAATCTGTAGATGGGCTGTCACCAGATTTGGATTTAAACTTAGAACGCCTGAATATTGCGGAAAGTGTAATTTTAAATTTCAATTAAATGTTATTTTTAATACTGCTATAGCAGATATATAAATTCTGTGGGGAAACATGTTGACATGTGTGAATATTGACTTTTGTATAAGCATTTAAATTAAATATGTCCAAATACCACAGACATGATATGGAACTGATGAATTTCACTTCATTTACTTAATTTCATTTCATTTGGCATTTTCTGTCTTGGTATTCTTTACCCTCCATTTCATTGTAAATTCTTTTTTATTTCCAACAGGAAGTTTTCTGTTTTCTTGCATTAATTATCTTTTCCATTTAAATGCATATTTCGAGCTAGTTGTCACACACCACAGGCTAAAATTGTTTGGCGGAATTAGGTAGAGCTTCACTTTTGTATCCTAGACGTTAGAATTGAGGACAGTATAACTAATTTAAGTGCTCTTGTTTTACAGCCAAGAAGGACTGTGACCAGTGTGATGATTTTGAAAATGAATTGATTCATTTACGAGAAGACGTGGTGGACACTCTCAATGCTTGGGTGGTAAAAGCAGTCAATAGTCAGTTGGTTCGACTTTACAACCCAAACAAGGAACCAGCTCTTGTTTTCTTTCGTCATGGTGTTCCATTACTTTATGATGGTAAACATGGTGTATGTTGTTAACATATTCAATTAGAAAAGATCTTTGATATTTCATGTGGACTGATTATGGTCTTCTGGGTTGTGGCGCCATGCAGTCTTGTATGTGGTTACTAGTGTTTTGGGGGGAGTAAATTGCCTCCATTTTCACAGGGACGTTTATGATGTTGGAGTGGCCTCCTCTGACATAGTTCATACCAAATTTCATGGAACTTCTTTGTGATATCGAAAAATTGAAAAAATGTGTTCATTAAATTCATGCACATTATTTTGCCGTCTTCTTTTTTTCCCCCTCCTTTTCAAATTTGGTTTGGTCTCAACAGGACCTGTGAATGATGAGCTGATTTTTCACACATTTACTGAAAACAAGGAACCCACAGTTCGAGAGCTCTCCGACGACAACTTTGAACACCTGACTCAGGCGTCTAGTGGAGCCACAACTGGAGATTGGTTCGTGATGTTGTAAGTTGATTACCGTTATGCATATTTATATTAAGTTCTCAAAACCCCTGCAGGGACTGTGATGTGAACTGAGAAGGTGGATTAGGACCTGTACTCATACAGATTGATTGTATATGAGAGTGAAGTTCTGAAAAGTAAACGAAGGAACAGACAATAAGACATCAGATTTCAGAGTTTCTTAATTTATACTTTTTTCCTGCTGCTTTTAACTTTTAGGCTGGGGCCGCACGACCGTACAAAGTACGTCCTTTGTCCGGTCGTGTGGCCCCAGCCTTATTCTACAAGAATAGGGGGTTTAAACCCTCATACTATGAGACTTCCAGTTGGACGTAACCCTGACGTTAAGTGGTTTAGCTGTGTGCTACCAAAACACATGGCCAGCTGCTGCGGCATATGTTCAGTAAAGGTTGAAACAATTAAATCATGGAGGAAGAGATGAGTGGGATATATCCCAGAGAGCAAGAAACCTCATCTTAGGTACCACTTTAAAAACCTTAAGCATAATTAAGAGGGTAATAAAAGTAAAGTAAAGTTTAAGGGGGGGGGGGGGGTGGTGGAGAATATTTGGAGTTGGCAAAGACTTTCAGACAATCGCGTGATGAAATGTTTAAGTTGTACCAAATACAGGGTGTCTAACATGTGTTGTAGTTGTAAAAATATAAATTACATTAAATCAGAAAGAAACAGTGTTATATTACGTAACTGAAATTCTCCACCTCGATCTGTATCGTCGTAACTCAACACCGAAAGGCGTCCTCCACGTTTCCTGTGTCTTGGAAACTGTTCACCAGACGAGATACTGTCGACTTTTTGGCACACCAGAGTCGGTTAATGTATCCCTAAACACATTCTGTCAATCTGAATAAAAACGAGACCCCAATTAGTGTTCGACAATGAACACTCGCTGCACTTCTGAAAAATACATCCTCTGACTGTGAGTTATCATTTGTCTTGGTTTGTGTAGTTATGAATCATGGTTTCCGTACTCTGAGTTAATGTCTCTGAACGTAGAGTAAAATTAAAGTAAAGATGTCCCACTATACGCCATTTAGGCGCTTGGGGGGAGAGAAGGTATAGCTCCTACTAATTATTGACCTCGGCACTAGATGGGGATGAGCGGTCAGCATCACGCCCCGGCCGGCTTTACCCCCGGGAAAGGACCCCCAAGGAAGGAGGCTGGGTGGCCCCCAGAGCCGGTCTGGACGCAGAGGCTAGAGGAAAAATCCTCTGCCCCCGTCGGGGATCGAACCTCGGTCGTCCAGTCCGTAGCTAGTCACTATACTGACTGAGCTATCCCGGCTCATATTAAGAGGGTAATATTAAAGTATATTATAATGTTGATGATAAAAAAGAATTAAAACTTAGAAAAGTAAGCTGTGAAGATGTAAATTGGTTTGAATTAGATGCATTTGTTCTAGTGGTATTAAACCCTTGATTCCGATACCGCTTGATAAGCACTATTGGTTCTGTGTTTATAGTTACAGTACAGACTGTACTGAGTGCCAGCGGCTACAGGCTCGTTGGGAAGCAGTGGGTGCTAAACTCAGAACACGTCTCAACGTTGCTAGAGTGAACAAACAGACAACGGGAGCCGTGACTGCACGACGTTTTGGAATCTGGGAAGTGCCTGCCTTCATCTTGTGAGTTTGTCTTATACTGTATCACTTTATGTGTTTTCCAGACTAGTCATGCAGCCCAGTGCGCTGTACTGATGGAAAATTTTAATTGAATGTCTTGTCGGCTTCATTTTTTTCTTTTACATGTTGTCAGCAGGCCAGGAGGGATAATTATTTATTTATAAAATAGGTTTCTTACCTGATCCCATCCCCCTGTTGTCTATGATCTACCACAAATACAGTAAAAATATTCCAAAGACTTATGAAGTTGTTTAATTTGTTATCCAGACTTGCTTCGTAATCCAACTACATTAATCTTGTTTTATGAAAATTTGATAACGTACACTCCCCTTGTGCTATTCTAAGAATAATAATATATAGGCAGGTAGTAATTCCTTTAAACACGTGGCAGAGTTTGATAATTACAGTATGTTGGAAAAAAAAGGTAAAGAGCAGATTAAATTCTGATATTGCTATAATTCAATTCAGAATCCTATGTCTTTTATGTAAAGATTAAAATATACAAAACTGTATTTTTATCTTTTGTTTGTGTCGGTGCGAAAGTTGGTTGATCGCACTAAATGATGAAATTAAACAACAATTAAGAACGGGGTGCTTAGGATATTCGGACACAAGAGGGAGGAAGTAACAGGAAGCTGGCGATAATTTCATAATGAGGATCTTCATAATTTGTAGACAGTCGTCTTTATCTTCAGTTTTATCATGCACATTTCTGTATGATTGACTTTGGAAGATTCTACAGAATTTCTTGTCATCGACAAACTATACTTCTTTAGTAAAACGACATTTTCCAAATGATATTCCTCGTTTCCGTGTTGATGGT